GGTCCGTGAAAGAGTTGCTGGCCCAGACCGGACACTTTAATCAGGAGAAGCCTCAGCCAAATTAAGGAGCTCCTGCCTCCCCCACCCCTTAGAGATTTACCTGTAAAAACCCTATATCCCCATCCCTGAGAACCTGCCTCTGGTGCCAAACGTGTGCCAATGGGCTACCTGTGCATCCCTAATGCCCCTTGGGGTCCACCCCAGACAGAGGCTACTTATGGGCCTCACTCCACATGTTGGAGTGTGTATGTGTGTTCCAGAGAGAGACCGCTGGCCCCGGGGTGGAGATGCTGTGCCCCGTGGGCCGGGAGGGGGGGGGTGTCTCTCCCCGCATTCCCGAAATAAAGGTTACTTATATTTTATATTTCTTATCTTTGCAGCCACCGCCGCCCACTCCTTCCACGGCCATCCACTCCACTCCACTCCTTCTCCACTCCTTCCTTCCTTCCTTCCCCTTCATCCTCTTCTCAGACCTAACAGTCCGTACACTAAAAACAGGACTGTGTGCTCGTGAAAAGTGGGTGATGGGTGACGGAAATACCTTCTTACATAGAATTATTCCCTAAGCTTGGATGTACAGCAAGGAGCTTTTGTAAATGGGAAGGGGACCAAGAGATGGAGAAAGGGGGAAGAGAGGAGAGAGGAAGGAGAATTACAGACACCAAATCCCCATGATGAATGTAACTGTTAGAGTTTTCCAGCGCTGTAAAGGAGAAAAATATAAGAAAAAATAAAAGTGGCTTTTTTATTTAAGGCCATAGAGAGGAGCCCACAACCAGCAAGGGTTTGGCTTTCTCCCCTGCCCAGATATGGGGGTATGGGGTATATGTGACCTTTGACCAGGTGTGGTGTTTGGGGTGGGCACTGATGACAGGCAAGGAGCTGACTGGAATTTTCTTCATGTGCATGGGAAAGGAAGGAGGAAGCTACAATCAGGGAAGAAGGAGGAAGTGGCCATCAGGGTAAGCATCCCCAATTTGGCCTTTCACCATGTTCAATTACTGCCATAATGTCCTGTAATTTATTCTAGGGCAAAACTCTTTCAGTAACCACTGTCATTGTGTACTGCAATGCATACTAATAAAAATGATAAAATAATAAAATGATAAAACTAATAAAAAAATATATAAAGAGGTGCCAAGTCTCACAGGGTATGACTAGGTCATCAGATCTATGAGAAAACGAGTTTTGTCTGATTTGTTTACAACACTGATAAACAAACAGAATAACAGCCCCTACCCCAAACACCCACTTCTTACATTTTACTCATCACTGAGGCAAAATACCTGAAGCCCAAAGTTGGGAAAGGAAAGGTTTATTTCTTACAGTTTTTGGAGGTTTCAGTCCATACTCAGTTGGCTCCAAGCAGGCAGGCATGGCTGGGCCACAGTTCATGGGGGCTGCAAACAGCAAAGAGGAAACAGGCAAAAGAGAGAGACACACCCTCTTCCTGCCATTACATCACATCCTGGCTCCACCCCTAGGCCAGTGTAGCACTCACATCCCTAATCCAACCTAGACAATGAACCAATCACAAATGCATAATGCAAATGCATGAGGCCTGGGGGCCACAACATAAACCATAACACCCACATTCTAACCCCTGGAAATGGCGACCATGTTGGGTTACAGGCAAAACAAGGCACAAATCATTTACTTTCCCAGTCTCAGAATACAGAAAGTGGATCATGTGTATGCTCTTTACTTCTGACTCAGTTATTAGGCCATTTGAGTATTGTCACAGTGTCATGATGAAGCTTCAGCAAGTCTTGGTGATCCCTATCCGCACTAGACTGAGGATCAATTCACCTGTTCAAGGTTCAAAATACAGATTTCTCTTTGGGAGATGAGGCTGGAGGGCTGAAAGGTTGGAACTTCATCTTATAAGGTTTAAAACATCATGGTGTGCTAACATGATGGCGTTTATGCTTGTGGAAACTCACTACAGTGACAGTGCAGGCAATGAATGGATTGGGAAAGGTGGCATCAAGGCTAGGCCATAAGTTACTGCCTTAACCTCAGCAAGAAATCCACACAGGGTGCTGACTGTGGACAGCGCAGTGTGGGTGGAGGGAGATGAACTAACTGCGGCAATGGTTCTGAGGTCATATTGATGGGAATCACAATCTTTTGATTAAAAGAGAGAAAAAGAAGTCATTGGGAATTACAAATTGTAGGCCCAAACAACAGAGTAGATGAACATTATTTCATAAGATGCCGGCATGAAATGGCACATTTGAGACAGGGTATAACTGGGGTAATATAATGAGTTCTGATTTGGACAAGTGCTTGCCAAGCAGGAGGAGATAAGTAATTTGTAGGATCTAATAATAAATCATTGGTGGTATCAGTATGAAGATCAAGGGAGAAACTTGGTTAGAAACAGAGTTGGGAGTCATGAATATATGAATGTAAATGGAACCACTGGGTGTGACAGCACCAAGGTAAAGGTGTAGATTTAGCACTCAGAGCTAAAACCTCTGACAAGCATGATTTTGAAGGAAGAGGATGGAAGAGAATCTATGCAAGAGGCTGGGCTTGTGGCCAGAGAGGAAGAAAAGCAGAACTAGGTGTCACCTACCAGAGGATTCCAAGATGGTGGTTATCACCAGGGTGCTGAACACTGCTGGAAGAGGAAGAAAGATGGAAGAGCAGGTGCTGGGGACTATAATATGGGCAACTGAGGACCCCGAAGGGGAAATTTTAGTAGAATAGTGGGGCAGAGATCAGCCTGAAGAGTAACTGTAAGAGTATAAGCTGAAGAACCTGAAAAACAAACAGGGTAAGTCCTTCAAGAAATTTGGCCAAAAAAGCAAAGAAATGGGATGGTACAGGATGGTATTTTTTTTGCACCTCAATACCATAATGTTAAATGAAATAAATCACACACATGCTTAAATATCTCATGGTTTTCTTCTGATATGAGAAACCCAAAGTATCAATAAATTGGAGAGCAAAATAAAAGACAGATAAGAGGGAGGGAGATAGACGTTTTGTGAAACAGAGGGAACCCAAGAGATGGAGAGGGCAGAGAGGCAGGTGAGAGAAAAGGGACAGGAAAGGAATTAAGGTGCACTGTAGTCAGGGGTTTGCAAGGAGACCACATACATACAGGACACAGAATTTATAATACTATTTTATGATGGTCACCCAGAGTTAAATACAAGAAAGTGCAGGAAATGTGTTCACAACACTAAGGACCTAGAAAATCCAGCTGAGAGCCTGGATCCCACAGCAATGTACTTCATGAGTCCATCTGAAGACCTAGAGCCCATGACAGTGCCTCCCATGAGTCCAATTTGAGGCTTACAGCCCACAACAATGACCGATGCAAGTCTATTTTAAGAGTCTGCACTGGGAAGGCTCAAAGGCCAGTGGTGGAAGCTAGAAAATCTGTGCCAGTGGAGTTAAGGATCTGTGCCAGTAGGTTGAGGATATTGTACTGGATCCAGGAAGCAATGCTCAAAATAAGGACCAAGGCTCCCCTGAAAAGTACCACAGACATCCTCAGGGACAAGGTTCTGAGCTCCTCCAAAGATAATAACCAAGTTCACATCAGGGAAACCAGCATGACAAGCTTTTCCAGAAGAACCAATGGCTCCACAACAACACAGGAGAACTCACAGTGCTACTCTTCCTTACCAGATCTTTTTATGATGGCCCTCAGGTGGGCCATCTACACTCAGCACCATGCCGATTTAATTCATCTGGTGTTAAGTTGACCTCCCATTTTTAATCCACAACAAGGTGCATTATGTACTTGTAGCAACTGCCTGCCATGAATGTAATCATCACAACAATATACATTTTAGAAATAGGCTGATGTGCAGTGTTCACTGGGAGAGCGTGGATTCTGGTCAACGAGGAGATAACCATTTCCACGAGCCCTTGCAGACAAGGGCTACAAGGGCACCAAGATGGTAGATGAGTTGCTCTCACTGCCCTGAGGAGGAGGAGGACATTTGGACACAGTGGTTGCTGGTGAATTTTAAGTTTGATGCAGGAAAATAGAAGCAGTCACCGTTTTCTGACTTTTTATTCTTCTGTTGAGTAGGAGCTAAATCATAGGAATATTTAGTTTTGAAAAGAGAGGCATTTTTGCATTTAAACTAGAGCTTTAATACAAATAAATCCATGATTTTCAAGTGGTACCATCTCAGCCGAGGTTTAAATCGACCAAACCATAATATAGTGATTTAAAGCAATTCTAAACGTGATTACGACTTTATCTGATGCTCAGCATTAAGAGATGGTACGGATAACACAGAGAAAGCATTTCCACGCCCTTCTCTGCTGCTCTGCACCCCGTCTGCCCCACCTCTTCCCAGTCCCTGCTCTCTGGCTCCCCATTAGGAAAGAAATCTGAAGTTACGGTGCTGATACTTTTCTTTCCTACTTGACTGCGAGCTTTCTAAATTTCTATTAATGCAAAAGATTATGTTACAACAAGTGCAGGTCAGAGTCCATCAGATACAGATTTCCCTCTGAAGACTGGAATGGGAATGGAGGGACAATGGACAGGCCAAAGAGAACGTTCAGCCCTACATCAGCCAGAGGGCAGCTGGCATCGTAGACTGTGATGTCAGCCCTGGACAGTGCCCATCACTGTGACCATCGTGGGATGGAGATACCAAATGCTGAGGACAACCTCCAAGAAGGGATAGAGGTTAAGTGGATAAAAGCATGATCGATAACTCTGAAACACTGACCATGGCTGATACTAGACAACATTGGAATTATTGATCACATGGATCACACACATATTTTAAGCATTAAGTTTCCAGAAACTGAAAAGATTCCAAAGGAACGACCAGGAATGGCAGGTGTGTGATTCATGGGGCAATGGGGTTAGGGGGAGGGAATAACAAAGTCCCCCAGGGAACTTAGCAAACACAAGGAAACACGGGATGCTTTTTATTTGGATGCTGGAGGAATTATTCTCTGCGCACAGACAAAAGGAACACCCACCCACCCCGCTTCCACACAAAGCGGCGGTCCAGACAAGCTGTCTTGTAGTAAAGTGAACAGCACAATCTCACCAGGTTCCTGCACCCCTCTTACCAATGTGAAGTTATTTGTGGACCCAGGAAGTTTCCAGATGGCTCGGCCTCTTAGGTTGCTCTGAGCCTCATCTCCTCCACTGCATTACAGGCACCAGAAACAGCTGCTCAGGCACTCAGCTCTCTGTGCTGGACACTGCTTTGACCCCTCCAGGGGGCTTGGTCCCAGCCTGCCTTTCCCAGATTTTGTACTCCTGTCCACTGCTCTCTCGCTGGATTGGACCAGGTGGAATTCCTCAGGGAGGGCTAGAGACAGATGCTCAGTAGGTGTGGAGTGCTCATTCTCCACTCACTTCCTATGGGGACAAGGTGGCCGGGCTGTATCACTCAAAGGAAGACCAGCAAGGGGCGGAACTTAAAGCTCGGCCTGCCCCTCTTCCTTTGCATGACCTGGATTTTAAATGCTGCTGCCTAGAAGCAGCCCACTCCCCTTCCACTTAAAGTCATTGACAGAATTAGTTGTACACCCTGCTTCACTCCAAAAGGACTGGAAGCTCGCTGCTCTCAGTCCGCCAGGAGAATCAGATAACTGGTAGAGGCCAGGAGTCCATCGCAGAGGTCTGGTCACAGAACAATGTGATTTACTTGGTGACTGTGGAGAGACGGGTGACTCTGCCACTTTCATCTTTAGGAGCAGCACGTAACTCATCTCATTTCCTTTTTGGAATAATTGCAGATAGCTGGACTTTTTCCAAAAGCAGTGATCACATATAAAATTGCCAAATTAACCCCCAAATTGGCAATCAGCTAGAGATGGCTGCTTCCTCTTGGGTTAGAGCACATTAGTTGCTGGCTCTTTCAGAAATGAGCAGGGCGCGTCCTGACCCCGGCTGTATTGATTGGCTGTGTCCTCACATAGCACGCTGGAGTACCTCTCAACAAGCCATTATGTAACTGTCACAGAAGGGCAGAAATACAATGTTATCTTTAAATGCTTTGTCTGTGGATTGATTAAAAACAACCAGACAGAAGAGACACAGTAATTCCTGCTCTGACCGGTCCAGAACTTCCCAGGTGTGCATGGTGAGACAGCACAGGGGTGAGGGGACCCCTCATGCATACCCAGGAGCAGTGGAATCTCCTTACTCATAGCACTGCTATGTCCAAATATGTAAACTGAGGCCACGAGATCAAAGGGACCGATGGTATTGGGTAGAGTTCACAAGATCTTCTACAACTGGCAAACTGGGGGCAATATGTGCATTTGTGTGTGCATTTTTTAATGGAAAAGACTCATATGTTTCTTATCACATGCACACGCACACACACACACACACACACAGATTCCTTTAAAGTTCTAAAGGTCCTTAAAGTTCTTAATCCTAAAAAGAACCTCAGGGTGGAAAATTTTTCACCCAGGATCCTGTGTCATTTCCACTCGGTTTGTGGCCCTCAGTGAAAAGAACACAGCATAAACTCGCGCCAATCAATGACACGGTCTTTAGCACAAAGACTTGGCAGAGAGCTGGTAATCAGTAAGGTATGCAACTTTAAAACCTGGGCCTCATTTTTCCTAGGTTTTAAAAATGTCATTTGCAGATGACCATAATCACACCTGCTATAGACTCTCTGTTCTTAGAAATAACGAGCTTGCTTTGCCTTTTCCACCTTAGTCTCAGTGGCTTTCTGTGAAAAAGAGATGGAAAAGATTTCCCTCCACACGAAGTTAGAGGACACCTCTTAGAGAAACCGCTCAATGTAACAGCAGGACCCTAACATATCTATTAAAGTAGCTCTTGATTGTTCTGTACAGACTCTTATTCAAAGAATGAACTCAGAAATGATCATGAGTAACTCCTAATGAACCCAATTTTCTGAGTGAAATGTCCTCAGGTCCCTAACCACTGGCCCTCGGTGTCACTGTCCGCCTGCTGTCATTAACCATAGTTTTGGCCTAACTTGCATTCTAATTAAGTCTTGGGCTAACTGTGCATTAAATACTTAGAAGTACACTCTGGATAATCCTACAAAGTCTAGTTTCTTCTACCTTCAGCTTGAACATAAAAACCAATTTGGGAAAACTTGGGACGTAGAATGTATCAGTTGTTAGTCTCCCCTGGAATCAAAGGAAGAGGAGAATGATCCAGAATTACTCAAAATCACAATCAATACCTACAGGACACATCAGAGTGAGGGAAGCTTTAAAGTTTTGTGTTGTTAGGAACTCTCTTTCCTGGGATTTACAGGATGTATGTGGAGTGAGGCTGAATGTGTATTTGGACTTCAGAGAGAGATTGAATGTGAAATTTCTCACAAGAGCAGATGAGTCTGTGGCCCTGGCCTGCCAGCCTTGATAACAGCTGAATTAAGAATGAGGGGTCTGTACTCCTGCTGCTGAATCCAGAGGTGCGGCACCCTTCCACGGCTCTGCATGTGGAACTGGGGTAGTGACCTACAGACTACAGAGCGAAACCATCTGATTAACCCCACACTTCATCAATAAAATAAAATAAAATTGGGGCTGGGGATTTAGCGCAGCGGCATAAGCGCCTGCCTTGCAAGCAGGCAGTCGTGAGTTCGATTCCTGGTACCGGTAAAAAGCAAAAAGACAAAAAAAATAAAAATGAAATACCAGGTCTAAATGGCCCACTTGCCTTTTCTCCACTGCTCTTCACTCCACCCCACATCCCTGAGTCCTCATGCCTCAGTGTCCCTCTTCTCCCTGTCCCCAGAGTGTAGATGTCTTGCTGTGACTCTTGCTTAGCAAACCTTGCTTTTGCACATAAATAAAGAAGCGCCCCCCCCCCACCCTAGTGATTCTTAGCTAATGTATCATCTAGATGATCCCTTTTTCCTGTAATGTCTGATCAGGTTTAGTTTTATTTTGGTATTTTATTGATGTGACGTGAGACTGGTCAGATAGATTAATTCCACTGTCTGTGGATCAGCACCTCCACTTCTGTATGACCCAGAAGCAGAACTGTGGAAGAGTCCCGTGAGTATGGATGTGGCACAGGCAGGTACAGTGAGCAACTTGGTGTTGGATGAACAATGAGAACTGGACCAAATCTCCTGTAGTTTGAATGCTAGCGTTTTCTGGTCTAAGCTCAGACTGGTGGATAACCTGGTCCTTCATCTATGCGGCTTGATTTACATTTAGTTAGTTTTTCAAAAGAAGAGTTTTCAAATTTACAAAGTGTGACTGCTATTCTAATCCAAAATAAATATATTTCCCTTGTCCAAAGTGAAGAACAGACATATGTAGACCACTGTATGTTGAGGTGAATTTGCCTAGAGATGAAAAACTGAGCCCCAAATGAAGTCTTTGTAAGGTGCCTGGGCCAATTTTTCCGTAGGAGAGAAATCAGTTGTACCTTTGTTGAACAAGATCATTTCCATCTCTCTATATAAGAGACTTTTTATTTCTGCAAATATTTTAAGATTTACAGAGTTGTAACACAGCCAAGTCTAGGACAATCAGAGGAGCAGACCCCTATAGCACTAGGCAACCCTAGAGGATTTGTTAGACTGTCCCCAGCGTTCTAGTCAAGGGACAACCTGTAATCTTTCTCCCATTTCAAAGTTTTTCTCAAGAAGCTTACCTCGGAGAGCACAAATAGCATCCCCTTATACTATGCTTGATCACAAAACTGTCTCATTAAGTTTCACCTGCTTATTTCCATGGGTGCTACAAGAGTGATAATTATCCACATATTTCTTTGTAAACTGAGATCCATGCAGGACTGAGCTGATAAGTCCATTAACTTCTATTGGGAAGTTTTCCTAAAGAGATTGAATTTTATTTTTAAAGCCTCTGTCATTTGTTATCCAGTGGCTAGGAAACCAGGTCCAAAAACTCTTTTCATCATATTTCACTTGTACTATCAATAAATTTGAATGAATTGCTCCCGTCTCATAATCTCTCATATTTGTGAAGGTTTTTGTCCAGCTAGAAATGACCTTCCATACCCCTCTGGAAGGCTGGACCTCAGCTTGATTGGCCTGAGAGTTTACTTATCCTTTTCCTTAAGAACAGCTTATCATTCCCAATTAATAAAATTTATTTTCAAGTGTGACAATTTTTGGTATGGTCTTGATTGCAGAATTCGACTATATTCTAGTTAAAAGGTGGGCGGGTTTGCATTCAACCTGTGTAACTATCTTACCATTGAAAAAAGTAAAGCAATTTAGTAAGAATTGGTGAATTTCTGAGGAGTAAAATTAGACATTGTTAAATAATGTTCCCTGTCATCTCACAAAAGAAGAAGCCCATTTCGCTAAGTGTTAGAGAAGATTCAGAAAGAAAAAGAAAGGGCTTCCTAAGACATGCATGAAAAGTAGGAATTAAGAGAACATCACCTAGATGCGAAGCACAAGTCGCAGCAACACTTGCTCGCTGGTTCCTTCCGTCTCTTGTTCTGCTGGACGGTGGGTCACCAGCCTTGCTCATGAGGCCACCTTCTGGCAGACTGAGAAGTCTCTTGGAGGTCCTGCCCCAGTGCAAGGGACAGTGTGATCACCTCTAGATGACGTCAGGTCAAAGCTGACGCCCAGAAGTCCTCCCTTGAGAACTCAGTGGCTCCGAGACACTGCTATGGTTCCTTCCATGAGATCAAAGACTGAAGGCCACATCTCTGTCCTGTACCTGGCTACAGAGCCTGCAGAGAATCATCAAAGTAAAACAAAAATCACAAGTGGATGACAGAGAGTTAATGGTTGTGGTTAATTTATTACCGTCATTACTAATATCAGGAGGTAGGAATATAAATTTCACTTTGGAGTACAGTACCTAATTATTTCATATGGGTTTGATCGATGTTTTCTGGAGAGTCAGACAAACCCCCAGGGTGTTCTCATAAGGCCTATATTTTCTGATACATTTATATTCCCCACTTTGTGCCTCAACAAATTCAAGAGAGGGCAAAGCATCTCTTTTAATTTGACAAGTCTTTGCATAGAGCTCCTGCAGTATCATTGAGCTAATTTAAGAAATGTGGATAGTGCACTAAACAAACTTAATTATTTCTAGTGCTTGTCTTTTCATACAGCAAAAAATAAATCTTTGTGATTGCTCTGGGGCCTTTGAGAATTCTCAGAGATAGTTTTAGGTCGAAAAAATATCCTGACATTTTGTTTTATTTTTCCTAAATATAGCATTCAATTTTCATAAGGCAAAGTCAAAGAGCCATCGGAGAAGACTCTGGACACTTGGTTTTGTTCGGATCATAGCTACCTGAGAACTAAGTGCATCATGAGCAATTTAGTCAAGGTTACAAGGAAGTAAGTAGAAATCAACATGAAAAACAACACACTTATGAAGAACCTTTGTGCTTTCATACTTGAGAAAGTTTTGTTTTTTGGATTTTTTTTTAAACAATGAAGGACATAATAAAGTCAAAGTAAAGCACAGAACATTGTTCCAGTAAGCACACGTTCTCTGTAACCAAGGAAGGTTTTACACAAGGTACAGAATCATCTTTCATCTGGTAAATTAGGACACTAGTCAGTAAGCCAAGGAAATAGACCCACCAAATATAAACAATCTGTTAAAGTCTTCACTCAAAGTACACCTTCTTTTCAGAGTCAGTTCTTATAAACTTTGACCACAAATCCTGTATAATTTCAGGAAGTTCTAGATGAACTACTCTCCTTCTGAATTTATTTGAGGTTCAATTTCATTACTTTGGGAGAACTGTAAGAATTTTCTGTGAGTCTGCATTTATCTCTCTAAACAATTAGAACAGACCTTCTTTATTTTAAGTGACCTAACAATCTAAGTTATCAATACCTTCCCGAGATGCAGTAAAATCATGCACACAGTCAGAGGTCAAAGTCTTTCTCAGTTACACACAAACATGTGCTACACAGAGAACTTATAACTTCAAATTTAAACAACAGCCGGGTCAAAAGTAGATACAGATATACAACTCTGTGGTCATAAAGAGCTCTTCTTCCCAGAAATTCTTAACTGATCAGAGCATAAAACAGAGAAACAAACAAGAGAATAAAAGAATAAACCTTTTGTTGCTTCTCACCCAACAGAGAATAGATCATTCTTGTCTATCTACAGACATCAACAAGCCACATATGATAGAAGCAAATTTCTAATCATTGCTCCCCCACTGAGGACAAATTAATATCCATATGAACAAAATGCAAGAACAAAACATAAAATTGAGGAAGAGAAAGGAAACAGAGCCTTGGCAATGTCAGAGTTTGAGGATCACTTGGAGCTTAAACTGAGGATGCAGAGACACACACAGGTTCAAGCAGCCCTTGGGGGACCCCTGTCCAACACAATGTTCAGTGCATCCTGACAAATCCATAGTACATCCACGTGGCAAAATCATGATGTCCATGCAAATATAAAGTATGCAAATGTGAAAGATACTATTTTCTCCATTAATTAATGAGGGAACTGGGGCTGAGAGTATAGCTCAGCGGCATAGTGCCTGCCTGGCAAGCATGAGGTCTTGAGTTTGATTCCTAATCCCCTCGCAGCCCGTAAAATGAAGGAATTGATATTTAAGCTGCTACCCAGAATATATAGCTGAAATCACACAGCTTTGCCTGGCTTTCTCAGGTCCCATTGGTGTGGAAGCAGGTGAGTGTGATCCTGTCCTCCCACCTTATTGATGAAACACCTTATCTGTCGTGTGCCCTTTATAACCTCTGAAATAATTGAAAACATTGGTTATTTAGATCTTTATGGTTGTCAAAATACGTTCTAAATTCAGGTGGCTAAGTAAGTCAGGTGATTGAGTTGGAAAGTCATCGCCAGTCTGTCATGACAGTGTATAAATGTCTGAGACACAGCAACTATGCACTGACCAGCCCAGCATCTGACTCCAGAGGTCCTGCACCACATTCTTAAAACTCAGGGCTCAGGATGGGTGGTCCCTGGGGGCCTGTTCAACTCACGGGAAATGGCAGTGCTGCCAGTTAAAGATGGATGAGCCCCTGCCCGTACTCTGCTGGGACGCTGGGACAATGAATAACCAACTGGAATGCCCTGCAAACACTCTCCGCAGTGCCCCTCCATACACTGAAGTTTGCAAATCATTACAGTGTAGATGTCCCTCCCTCCCCCAGGCAAAGCTTAGTTATAACTTTCAAGAGTACTGAGTCTTTTGGGTAAATAGGACACTTAGCTGTTGTCTTCATTTAAGGTCATTTACGCTGAAACTTGTCTGGAATGATATTTCTTTTATTAGTACACACTTGCAGTACATAGTGATGATGTCCTCATAAGAGTTAGTACAGGTACACATCCTACCCTTCCTTTCCCTTCTCCTCCCTCTCCCTGCACCTTTCCTTTTGAGAAAGATCCATCTCACAGCTTGAGACCACAGTGTTAGATGAAACAAATCAGACACACAGGTGTAAATATCACATCACTTCTCTTAGGTGAGCAACCCAATGTACAAATAAAAAGCAGAATGAAAGATGGATGGTGTTTAACAGGAACCGAGCTGTCACTGTCTGAAATGCAGTAGTTTTCTGTGGCATGTTCTGCTCGGCTAACGAACAGCTATGAAACAAGGTGCTGTTCTCTGAACCCATTCCTCGGGCTGTGCACCTTCATTTTTCTTATCAATGGCACAGAGAAAATAAATGAAGTCAAAAGTTGGCTCTTCGAAAAGATCAATAAACTTTCCAACTGTCTCATCATACTAAAAGAAAGAGAAGGGGAGGGGAGGGAGGAGGAAGAAAGCGAGAACAAATTATCAGTGTCAGAAATAAAAGAATGGGCATCACTACTGATTTCCAGGCATGAAAAAGTCCCTAAAAGGATACTGTGGCCACAAATTTTTGATAAGTTGGGTGAAATGTACCAATTCCTTGAAAAATACAAATTATCAAAATTCACAGAAAGGGAAATAATTTGAGTAAGCATTTATCATTTAAAGGAATTATATCAATAGTTAATCACCTTCCAAGAAGGTATCTGATCCAGATGAATTCTACCAAACATTTAAGGAAGAAATAATACTGGTAGTCTATAATTCCTTGCAGAAGACCCAAGTAGAGGGAATCCTTAACTCATTCTAGGCAGCCAGCACTGCTTTAATATCAAAAGCAAACACACTAGACGAAAGGACACGTGCAGCCAGTATCTTTTATGAACACAGATTTAAAAGTCTTCAATGAAATTTTAACAAACGAAATCCAACAAAGTATAAATTCTATATCACAACCAAATGGGAAATAGTCCAGGTTCAAACACTGTTCAACATTCAAAAATGAATTTTTGAAATATACCACCTCAACAGGCAAAAGAAAAATCGTATCGTCATGTGAATTGATGTATAAAAAGCATTTGACAAAAGTCAACGTCCAGCTCCAATGAAGACACTCAGCACATTAAAAATTGTTTGGAATTGTCTTAATTGGATTTAAAAATCACCTCCAAAAAAAGCAGTGGGTAACATGGTACATAATACTAAGCAATTAGAAGCCTTCCCCTTGAAATGATGAAGATTCAATGTTGACTTTCACCTTTTCTGTAAAGCACCACACCAGAAGCCCTAATGAATACACTAAGACAGCAAAGAGAAATAAAAGGTACACAGATCTGAAGACCATCTCCGTTCACAGTTGCTGTGATTATCTACATGGAAAATGCTTAAATATCTGCAGAACAGCTCCCAGAACTAATGAGAGGGTGACAAGGCCACAGGAGAGCAGTGAGCACACAGGAGACGACGGCTTTGTAACGAAGGTTGCTCTTTCACCGTGGGATAATCACAACCCAAATACTGGGACTGGCCACTCTGAGCCAGCTGGGGACAAGCCGAAGAGAACATGCGTGTCTCCTGGGGATGGACAGTCCTTTACGGGAAGCAGTGCAGTGTTTGCCTTTGCTCTGTGTTACTTTACATTTCTCATTCTTTCTTTTCTCTGGAGTTGAAGGAGAAGGGTTTGAGCTACGAGTAAGGACTTAAGGGGCAGACCTCACCGGAGGAGACGATTTCTCTGGTTGTACTTCAGTGACAGAAAGAAAGACACTGCATAGTTTGATGAAGGAGAATGCAGATTATTCCTGCTTCATAAGAATGACACAATGGAAGACTCCATTCTCTCAGCTACTTTAAATGTTTAGAAGAATGGAAGAAATCACAGTAATGTCTCTGCAAAAACACACAATTTCTTCCCTTCCTCTGCATTCAGGTTAAACAGTGAATCACTGTCGGTTTCTCTCAACTCTACCTAGGCTACTTTAAAACCTTTCTACACAGACTATTAAGGCCTTCACTCAGCTACTCAGCAGCTATGAGCCTCTATGTCTGCTCTCTGATGGCGTGAGTGTGTCATCAAACGCAAGGCTGGTGACAGCTGCTGCCACTGTGAAATCAGCTCTGAAGTTCAGGCCACATCCTATTCCAGCTCCCGGCAGTTTCCATGCACGAGGTAGACCGAAAAGGACATTAATGTTTAAACTTTTAAAAAATTATTGCAGTAAAGGACACATTGCCATTACCTTTCACGGTCACTTTGACTGTGGGGGAGAAGCAGAGGCAGCTCTGGTGAAGGAGGTGGATGAGGACACAGTGTCGTGCTCCAGCGAGCTGCCTTTCCGCTGGACGTCCTTTGGCGACAGCTTTCACCAGGTTGTTGATTGTACCTCGCGAAGTGCACTAGCAAAAGAGGAAAATTCTAGAACCGCTTGAGAAAGTGACGAGAAAAATGGGGTACGTTTGAAGTGGGAGTACTTAGAGGGGGTCCGCAGCAATGTGTCTTCAACTGTGATTTTTTTTTTATTTAGGCATTCACTTTACATTGCAATTATAGCTCTTCTGAGGCTCACTGTAAATCAGCTTTTTATGGAGCTTTGTGGACAATGCAGCAAACTCTGAAATCTGAGTTTCACTCCCTGTCTCAAGGCTCCTGAAGAGCGCAGTGGAGGTCGGATGGCTCTAAGTGACCCATGTTCAGGCCAGCTTCTGGGGGTCCAACAAGCCTGCGCTGCCTACCTGTGTTTTCCTCAAAGGCCTTGACAAGGCACAAGCATCCATCAGACCTTCCTCTTCATTCAGAGATGGGAAAACCAGTTCTTCAGTCTGACACCAACAACAGCCCACGACGCCCCTCCACGTTTGTCTTTACCCAGGAGGCTGCAGTTGCCAGGTGTGTGTTTTTAAAGCTGCTCAGAACTGATCACATTTTTCCCTCCGCATGCAGAGTCCCAATAACACAGGCAGCACCTCAGAAGCAAAACCCACGCTCAAAGGGGATTTCTGCACAGAAAGACACATGACAGGACACTGCATCTCTAGTATCTTTCAGGATATTCAAAGGACCCCAGTCTTAGTTTATTAAAGTTACTAAAACCTGGTTTGTATCACCAGCTTCCAGAAATAAAAGTATTGTGTTTCACTGCTAAGCTAAGTTGACAATAACATAGGCAGTGTTTCCCAAACACAGCAAGGGAAAGGCATGTCAGAGCATACCAGCCAGTCGGTCTCTAAATGCACACACTTGCTAAGTTGTCTGGGAACTTTCACTTTTCCCAAATGGTTTCTGTGTGAAAATTTGCAAGAATCTGAGATTTTTCCCTTTATTTCCGCTTTTAAAAAGATAACACAAAAGCTGCTAACAAATCTAAGAATGACACCTACTAGTTAAAATTCGAAAAGAAAAGAGTGACAAAGTTCACACCACTTGAGAAGAGGCTCTTTCAAAACCAGCCTCTGTCAATGGAGAATGATTTGCAATTTGTAAGACTTCTTTGTCTCTAACCTTACTCAGGAAATAATTCCTCTAGGATGAAAACCTTTGCCTAAATTGGAAACAGAAAGAATTCTTGTCAGAGAATTCCTAACACAAAGAAAGAAAAAACATACCCCTTTGTCGTTTCTCAATCGAATTCTTTTCTACAAATACACATGGAGATAACAAAAGATAATAATGCAAACTCTATGCACCGGCCCACTCGGAGAAACAAATGTATGAATTTTTGAAAACACAAGGTAACCACTGGAACACAAGTAAAATGCAACATTTTGCCCTTTTTTTTTTTCAATATATCACCCGTATCAAAGCTTTGTTAAAACTTCACCTTTAGGAAATTAGTTTTGAAGGATTTAAACATTAAGTAAAGAAGTAAAGTCAAGAAAATTGCCCCCAAAAGGACTGGCATTAGAAACATGCATGAGAATAAATACCTAGTATTTGTTCTTCGACTCCACGAATCAAAATGAAAAATAAAGTACCAAAAAGTAAAAACTTACAGGAAGCCAGAGTCCGTAAATGGACCAGATGTACAACATCTGAAAATCTGCTCTGCCAAGGGGCACAATAGGAAGGAAAGTACCAGCAAGAATTGCAAGAACGAAGCACAGAAAGGAAGACCAAGCTGCCGCTCAGCAAAGAACTGAAGGTGGCGAGCCCCTCCGATGGGGCATTAGGCTGCAACAGAGGAAAAGACGTAGAAATAAACATAAAACAAACATTTCAAAGAATTGCTGTGTGCTCCTAACCAATCTACAGGAACTTTGTTTAGCTAGTAAAAAAAATAAAGAAAATAAAAGTTAATGTATATAGAAACTCAAACAAAAGGAAAAATATCGCAAGGATCTAATTACTGCACCACTTAGAGAAAATAAAATAGACATTACACACACAAGATTGAAGGGAAAATTGGAATGACCTCCTAAACTTTTATGGTCCCTAGATTTCCACCGAATTGGTCTTCAAAAATAAAGACCAGAAAGATTTGGAGGGGAGGTCTCAGGAGCACAGAAGTGATTTCAATTCCAAAAAAGACAAACTTACGTTTTGGAAAATCAAATGCAAAACTTAACTCTTCATAAAATTGTTTCCACTTGGCACCCCCTTTTCAACCATCCTACACGACCCAGAGTTTTGTAAAACACATGGGCAACATAGTTTCACAGAAATATCCGAAACCATCCTTGAGAACTGATATTGCCAGATTAATGTTCCTCACTATGAGTGGGATTTTTAAGATTAAAGTAATCAGCATTTCTGAGTTGCTCCCAACATGTCATTAAAATGTTTCTAAAGAAAATCTAAGAAGACTGAAACCCATACTTCTAACAAATTAAGACTCACTGACAGTCATATATAACTTCAATCTAGCAGAAATTTGAGAAAAATTAGAATATGCATATCTTCCGTACATACAAGGGATGACCAAAAATTATAGTGAATGTTGTTATGGTCGATGCACTGTGTTAACTTGAGAAGTTTTGAAATTTAACCAAGCATCTCAGCAGGGATCCAGGATCCTCACCTTGTAAACAGCCTCAGCTTGTCCAAGAGCAGGGCAGGGAGATGGTGGGAGTGCTGCACCTGCCCTGGGGAGTGGTTACCTGTTTACAATATAAGGCAGAAGAGCCTTGCTCCCCCCTTCTTTTGCTCTTGCTGCTTTTTCTGTCTTCTACCACTGTGAAGCGGTGCCCCTGTGCCACGCCATCCTGCCTTGGAGTGAGCTGATTATGGACTGAAACCTCCACAAACTGTGAGCTAAGCAAACTTTTCCTTCCTTAATTTTGGAAATAGGTATTTTGTCTCAGCAATGAGAGAAAAGTAACTAAGACAAATGCATACTTTTTAAAAAAGACTTCAGGGGCTGGGGATTTAGCTCAGCGGCATAAGCGCCTGCCTTGCAAGCAGGCAGTCGTGAGTTCGATCCCTGGTACCAGTAAAAAAGAAAAAGACAAAAAAAAAAAAAAAAGACTTCAGTTAAAAGCACTGTCAAGGATGGTGAGAGTGTTCAAAGCAAGAGGGAATATTCTGAGTATCTTGAAGGGATCTGATGACATGTCTTTTACTATAAGAATTTTCTGTTGAAACTTTGACTATTATGTTTTGATTGTAAGCACAGATGCAAACATTCTCAGCCTCAAAGAGGACAGAAAACACTAGCTCATTTCTGCTCTTTCTGTCCTATTTTGGAGAAGCATTTTATACGGGAAACACTTCCTTCAGATACATCTGATAGAAGCACACAGCACAGAATTCATCAATGCCAGCTCTAAAAGCCACACATACAGAAAAAATCTGACAGTTCAACCATGATTTATGTCTAAAGTTGTTTAGGGCATCTTCTGAAAATCACATGAAGATACCAGCAACTACATGAGCAGACATCTCAAGGGGAAGGTAAAGCTGGTTAGGACCTAGCCGAGAGATTACAGAAAAAACTACGCTTGGGGAAATGTTAACAGTATGGGCACTTTCTCATAATATAATATCAAGTGATGAAAGGTACACTAGAGTGTGACTGAGTTATATGAAATCACATATGTGCACAAACATATCCACCATAGGAAAGGCTGGAAGTCAAGCAAACAGGTAAGCTGAGGATCCCTGGAGGCAGAACACGACGCCATTAAGGTTTCTCTACAACAAGCACATGTCCCTTACATACTAATAAAAATAGTCTAAATATTAATTATTTTTTAAAAAATAAAGCGCTCGTTAATGTTGAGCTCTATTACTATATAAATAGAGATAAGTTTACTGTTCTTTTCTCAGTCTCAGTAATATACCCACCTGAGGTAGAATTGGATTAAATGAAATAATTTAGATAAAATAATATATTTTAAGTGCCAGATGCAACTCTAGCACAAGCTAGAACGAGTAAGTGCTAGTTAAATCTGAATATATACAATGAAATTCATCGGTCATCTGTTAAAACACGTTATACAGCCAAGGATGTAGCTCAGCAGCACAATGAGTGCCTGTTTGGCAAGCATGAGTTTGTGAGTTCAATTTCTGACTCCAAAAAAAATTATACAGTCATTTAAGAATAAAAATGAAAATATGTCAGTTGGGGCAACATAGACGAGCCAGGAGGACACTATTTCAAGTGAGATAAGCCAGGAACAAAAGACAAGTCCTCATCCATGCACAGGAGCTAAAAGAGTTGATCTAACATTGGTTACTTACTAGGGGAGGAGGATATGAGAGAGTTGGATAAAGGGGACTAAAATATAGTAGTGTTCTAGAATGTACCCTGCTAGCATGGTAGGTGAACATAGGTACACAGAATTTATTATGTATTTCTAAGTACCTAGTAGAGAGGATCACAAATGTTCCCAACCAAAAACATATGAACGTTTGAAGTGTTAGTACTTTTCCTGACTTGATTATTACACATTGTGCATGTATATTAAAATATATAGTATGCCCTATAAGCCAGTACAAGTTTGTGTCAATTAAGAATAAAATACACGAGGCAAAAGAATCTCAAATTTTAATTTCACCTGGGCAATTTAGTGAGAGTCTACCTCAAAATTTAAAAATAAATAAGAATCAATCAATCAATAATGAATAAAAATAATAAAACTTAAAAACTCATTCCGGGTAGTGCTCCAATTGCTATGTTTCTACAGATGTGAGAACATCACATGGTGGCACAATAGCACCCACTCAGAGAGGGAGTCCTCCAGCTCGCAGAAAGGACCCTCCCTTTGAGGGCTGCCACATGGCCAGGAAAGAGCTGAACAGACCCTCCTGGTGGCAGGAACACAGCAGCGAGACACCCAGAGCTGAAAATAATGGAAGACCTAATACAAGAATAAACGATCCGGCGCCTAATTCTGCAGCAGATTCTCACACCAGTGCCCCTGAAATAAATTTAGAGCATATCATCAAAACTGTGTTTTCACATCCCACAAAGACATAGAC